TATATATATATTCCAGTAGACAAATAGGATTTTGGAAACAAGCCACAATGATGACAGAACTCAGCTGTACAGCTCAGATATTCTTCCCAATAGAAATGACAGTTTAGATTTAGACCAATTACAAAAGGTTGGACTTTACATCTCCAAACTGGGATTTTTGCTGTTTTTAAACTTTTTTTTTAGAGATTTTACCACAGAATGATCTATTGACAGCCACTGAAGTCAGAGGCTAGTTTTTGAACTATATTTGCACAGTGCATATCCAGGTTTCCATCATTCAATTTTAACTTAAAAATTTCTCTCAAAACAGGAATCTCCTTCATAAAACACTGTAGAAACATATTATTTTTTTATGTATATGACCATTAGAATCGTCTACTGCTCAGGGTTAAAGAATTATGACCCTACCCACATAGCGAAATCGGTCTAGCCCAGTTCTGGCCCACACAATGCACCAACATTCTGCCCAGATACCACAAAGAAGGTCACTCGATCAAATCCTGGCCTGAGGACCTTTCTGGGTAGAGTTTACATGTTCTCTCCGTGCATGAGTGGGTTTTCTCCGGGTACTCCGGCTTCCTCCCACAGACCAAAAACATGACTGTTAGGTTAACTGATAACTCAAAATTGTCCCTAGGTGTGAGTGAGAGAGTGAATGGTTGTTTGTCTCTATGTGTGTCCCTGTGATGGACTTGCGACCTGTCCAGGGTACACCCCGCCCCTCGCACTGTGACTGCTGGATATGGGCACAAGTGACCCCCGTGACTGTTTTTATGAACAATTTAAAACAATTTTCTGCAGCAAATTATACTTGAGACCTGCTAAATGAGATTGGAGCAGTGAACTTAAAGTTGAACAATATTCAACACCATAGCTGAAGATTCTGTGCTCCATCACTGATGAAATGCTTTTATACATAAAAAGTGACTTCAACACATTTCAGCCCCTTCTGCTTCGTCTGACAGTCAAATAAGACAAGCCACCAGTGTAAAAGTGACAGTTTTCTCACTCCTAGCATTAGCACACAAGGCCAGACGTTTGCACAAACTGGCTTTTAAGAGTTGCAACACAGTCAGGATACTGTGTTAGGACCAGTGACAGCAACGTTTAGGTCCACAGAGACATGCGGGGTGAAGGTTAGTGTTGTGGGGACAAAGTGCTGAAGGGTGTAAATGCAGAGCTGCTAACAGATTGCATGTTCTCAGTCTTTACACTAGAAAAGAGTGAAGGAGAGTGTTAGGTGAATATCTCAAAGTCTTTTTTTTTGTCATAAACATTTCTTTATTCAAACATCACTTCTGTTTTTATTTGGATGTGCCCTCTGATTTAGGTTATTTTTTTCTTAGTGTGTGGCTGTTCAATGTTTTTAGTTTTCTCTACTTTTTTTCTTTTCCATCAAAATGTCAACGTTCACGCATTTTTAGGGGGGGCTTTCATATTTATACTATTAAAACTGTTGATATTTGATTACCAGTTAACAATGGAATTTATTTAAACATGTGGCCTAAATAATTACATCCTTAAATTAGTTTTTAATGATGGATACCTACTTTTTTATTAATAAAAACATTTAGGTGGATATTAAGTGTTAAACTACTATCAACACAAACATTAGTATGTAAGGCTTCCCAGCAGTACACTGTTCAACCCATCACACAGACCTCACAGGTTTTACTTCATCCCATTCTGGTGTCATATTTTCCTTAAATAAGCATCTCATACAAACCCAGCAATCCTCGTGATGGAAAGGAAAATGGGATTTAGCAGAGCTTTTGCTAGTCCATACTGATGCTAATGTGCTCAATGTGGGTTGTTTCCAAAACTGATTTACTATGTGTTCTGTCAGCTTTTTATTGAGATCAGCAATATATATTTTTTAATCTTTTTTTTTTGTTTGTTTCTTTTTTGGAAGCAAGTAATTAAAGCAAAATGCAGCGTCTGAGCGTTTTCAGCATAAACACCCCCACAAATGTCTGACCAATCACAGAGTAAGTTGGGGGGGGGCCTATCACTGCAGGGTGTGACAAGAAAGTCTGGAAGACTCAAAGCTGCGAACAAAATGATGTGATTTTCATCACACAACTGCGACAATGAGAGGCTACTTCGGCAGTTCAGATGGAGTATGGAGGTCTTATTACAAAGTACATTCCACTCATTGTCAGGGGCCATTGTAACTCCTCATCCATGCAAGGTGATGATGAAATATTCAAACCCTCCATTTTGTGTTTTAGGCTGTGTAACTCTGAAATCTGTCCCTGTTTCTTGTTGCGTTGGGCATACATCTCGATTTGGACTCAAGTATTTCCAATCAGCAATTTGTTCATTACCTGCCTTTCTTTTTTTGTAGATTATTTTTTCACAACTTGACTTCCTTCTTTTCAATATGTTTTTTTTTTACTGTCATGGCAAGGTATTTGTTGCTCATTACAGTCCAGAACTGTTACATTATTTGTTGACACCACTTTTCATGATTTAATGGAGGGGTTTAAAAGCTTGGGGAAACAATAGCAGGAACAGAAGATTTTCTTGATATTTGCCACGTTCAACGACAATTTATGCAGATTGTTTGAATTTGTCTTTATAGTTTACAGTTCCAGTGTGATCTTGATAATGGCTTTTGCCTATAGGGTCATACGTTTTCTTGTAAAAAGACCACAAGTTATGCAGCATGTAGCGCTACAACGCAGCTTATCAGTGGGGTTTTCATTGATAACCAGCTTATCTTTGAAAATAAACCTTTGAATTTGCTGCTTGCGTACAGAATTATTCTTTACACGCACAAACTGTAGGTCAGCACATCAGTGCAGTGAAACATTGAGCTTTGTTGAAGTCTCGGCTTTAGTTCAACTTTAATACGGCATCACTATATGTTGCTTAATTTGTTGCTTTTGTTTAGGTTTTCAGATCTATTGGGTCAGGTCATTGTAGCTTTGTTTCTAGTATTTTCATCTCTCCATGTTCTTTTTGTGACACACTTACTAGATATCAGATGAAATCCATGAGCTGTTTTCCAAATTTTCAGTGCTCTCCATTTTTGACCCCCTCTTTGTCTCTACCAGCCCCTCTTCCCTTTACTCATATTTAATTTTTCTGCTGTGGGCCTTTCATTTCTTTTTCTGCATGCTGAACAGAGATATAAGGTCATGGATGTGTGCCTTTGTGTCACCAGCCAGCTGATTGTCTTTTTCTCTCCTCTTCCTCGTTGCCTCTTTTCCTCCCCACCCCTCCTTCCCCCAGCCTCCTGAGT